AGAAGAATAACTATTAACACAAAGATCTTTCAAAAGGAAAGGGAGAGATGTAGGTATATGTTCAACTGATATAGGGGCTACTTCCCCTTTGTTGCCTCCATTTTTTAATCTATAAAGTGGACCTAATGCTTAGCAAGACTGATTTGCTATTGAACCAACTTCTTGCTGAAGCACATATTGGAGTTGGTGTTGGGGATGGGGAGGGGTCACAAAATAAGTTCCTTTTGAAGCTAAAGAATAAAATCTATAACTTGGGATTTCCAAATTCCCTACTCAAGGGCAGTATATTGAGAAGGAGTGATTGAAGGAGGTTGTGTCCTTTAGGAACAAACTATTCTCCCACTTGTCTTCAGTGTTGAATATTTGGGGCTGGGGGATGGCTCTCTCTCCTTCCATCTCATCCCACAGGCCTTTCTAGGTGTCCTCTTCTCATTCTCCAAGGGCAAAGGGACATTCCATGCCCTGGAAGCTTAGTCCAGAGTATTTCTCCTTGGAGTATTTTTCCATTTCTCTCCATTGTCCTGCAGACTCTTTTTCATATTAAAGCTGAGTTCCAATGTCATCTCCAGGCAGAAACTCCCTCTCCTGCACTCCTCCGCCACTTGGCTCTCATACAGTGCTTATCACATTGTTTTTTCAAATGCACTTTCATCCAGTTGCTCCAGACATAACACTGAACCTGTCCACTTCTCTCTGTCCCTGCTGCCCCCACTCTAGACCAAGCCACCACCATCTGGTGCCTGAACCGTCTCTGATCTTTTCACATAGAATAAGGGTGAGTGCAGAGTGGTACAATGTTGTGGTGGGCCCTTGTCTCTCATTGTTCAGTGAACATCTTGCCTGGTACACCCTGACCCCTGGCAGCAGCCCAGTGTCTGGCTCACAGGAGGGAATAACAACGGTTTATTGAATGTTGATGGAATAAAGTGCTTTCATTTGGCAACTTACCAGACACTTTCACATATATAATGTTTAATCCTCACAGCAGTCGTCTACACTTTAAAGTAAAAGGAAAATAGAAAAGTAGTTTGGATTAATATCTTCCTTAATAATCAGCATGAAATATGCGATAAAACTTTCAGTATTTAACATCTTTAAAAAAAAATTCTATGGGCTAGCGTCAAGCCTAGGTAATGCATGCGTCTACTGCCCCCTAGTGGGATTAGCTTCTAATGGCAGCTTTATTTTTCCTTCTTATCGCCAGTGGGAGTAATCCCCATCATACTTTCTTTAATATGTTCACAGATTTGAGGATTCTTCAGCAATTTCTTTACAAAGGCAGGGAGTCTATATCCTGGATTATTACATAATTATACCCAATTATAACCTGTGTATCTTGAGCAACTTCTGTGTCTCAGTTTCCTAATTTGGAAAGTGGAGACCATACAATGGGGTCTTCCCAGATGTGATTAATTTATATGAAATCACACAGGATTAAGTGAGGCCTAAATTCAATGTCATGGATGTCCTCATAAGAAGAGAAAGAGACGCACTAGACATTATTTACTGGAGTGATGCAGTTACAAACCAAGAATTGTTGGAAGGCACAAGAGTCTGGAAGAGGCAAGAGGATTCTTCCTCAAAACCTTCAGAAGAAGTACGGCCTTGCTGATGCCTTGCTTTTCCATGTCCAGCCTCCAGCACTGTGAGAAGAAAGTTCTATTGTTTTTAGCCACCCGTTTAAGGCACTTTGTTACAGCCGCCACAGGAGGCTTATACACCAAGGAGAACATGGCTTTCTGTTTGCAACGAAGACAGTTTGTGCCTATCTCACCCCTGAATAGATGGACTTTCCCGCCCAGCCTGTGACACACTGCCCATGGGTGGGCAGGCGGGCTCCTGAGGAGGAAGGAGATTAGCTGCGCACACCAAATGCACCAATCAGAGGAGAAAGACAGGAGGTTGGGCGTAGTCTCGCTAAAGTGCCTCCCACAGGAAACATGGGGAGTGGGGAGCAAGAGTTCCTGCCTAAGAGGGGACTGCAGATGCCAATTTTTCTGCCGGCACAAAGTTTTCCTACAAGTATTTGAGTCAGTTCTCAACATTTAAAAGTTGGTAGACTTCATATAAAAATCCAGATTTCAAGCTTCTCTTTGAAGATGGAAAATCTGGCCACCCTGGGCCCCCTTCCCACAGAGCTTGACTGGCTGTTGGTGCAAAGTCGGTGCCTTCTTCCAATGGACTGCAAACTCCCCAGCTCCCCATTCTGCCTACCACTCCTCAGGTCTCACCCCTGCCCTGTGCCGCTCATTTCTGTTCTCCCTCATCGGCTTTAGACACTGTGGTTTAGGGTTCCCAGAGCACAGACTCTGGAGTCAGACAAGCCTGCGTTCCAATCCGAGCTCAGTCACTTCCCAAATGTGTGCTCTGGGAAATTTACTCAACTTCCCTGAGCCTCAGTTCCCTCATTTGTAAAATGGGAATAATAATAGGACCTATATTATGGGGACGTCGTGAGAATTCGAAAATGTAATCATGTGGGCCTTTTTGTACAGATGCAAGACACATAAATGCCAAATAGATGGGAACTATTGTTACCATTTGATAAGCAAAACTGTCCATGTAGGAGCAAACTGGAAGAGAGCCTCCAGCTTCAATGATGCTTTGTCTGGTTTAAGCACTGCCCTACAGTGCACCGATTTTCAGAAAAATATTTTACTAAGCCAGCTTCCAAAAAGCCCCCTTTCTGGAGTAAGGAGTCCAATAGCAGACTTGGGAATTGCAGGTCCAATTAAGGTGCTTTTCCCTCCGGTCCACAATTTGATTCTTTTCTGGAAGGGAGTTCACAGCGAGGCAGGAAACTCTGGAAACCATCCAAATACTTTGATGTCTGGGTTTTAAAATAGCTGCGGTCTTAGCTGGCTTTGCAGACTTCCCAGTGGCCCTCAAAGGACAGTTTCTACTGTGACTGATCACTTCTGGGAGGCCCAGAATGTTGGACGATCCAGAAGGGACCGATTGACTTCAAATAACCTACTTCCAGGTAGAGGTGAGAAACCAGATGTAATTGGGGAGGAGGTACAATGACAGAGAGGAAAGTTATTTATGTGTTTGCTTGTTTATTCATTCATTCATTTATTTTTATGAAGAACATATACACTTCTGTGAGAAGGAATGTCCAGTTAGGAGGCCTTTTGTAAAAAAGTGAATTGATTTGATAGGATACTGACGTATTTTATAGATCTCACAGGACAGCAAGACTTCCCCGGGAACTAGAACCAGGAACTGGAAAGCGACCAGGTCCAATGTGTAAAGTACTGATACAACTTAGTTATTGATACAGTAGATGGCGACCTGGTTGGTTGTTCAAACATCGTGTATTGAGTAATCCCTTTTTTCTCAACTTGTTTGAAATGTCACATTTATCATATTCTAATTTTTTTGCATGTGTTTTGGGCCAATTTCTGGTAAAATTCTATGTCATCTGTTATGCATGGTTGTCACGGGTTGAACTGTGCTCCACAGAAGAGATGTGTTAAAGTCCTAATCCCAGGACTTCCGAATGTGACCTCGTTTACTAAGAAATAGGGTTTTACAGAGGTAATCAAGTTAAAATGAGGTCATTAGTGTGGGTCTTAATCCAGTATAACTGGTGTCCTTACAAAGAGGGGGAATTCAGGCACAGGTGGACATGCACAGAGGGAGGACAGCCATATGGCAAAGGAGGATTGGATGCATCTATGAGTCACAGGATGACCAAGATTGCCTGCAAACCACCAAAAAGGCAAGGAAGCATCCTTTCCCAAAGGCTCCAAAGGTAGCATGGCCCTCCCAGCACCTTGATTTCAGAGGTCTAGCCTCCAGGCCTGTCAGACAGACGGTAAGTTCCTCCCAGGTTGTGGTACTGTGTTGTCCTAGCAAACTAATACCATGCTCCAGTACCAAACTGTTTTCTTTATGATAGCTTTCTAATATCATCCCAGGGAGGATATTTTTTTTAACAAGACTTTATTTTTTAATTTTTTTGTTGTTGTTAATCCTCACTGAGGATACTTTTCCATTTATTTTTAAAGAGAGTGGAAGGGAGAGGGAGAGGGAGAGACAGAGAGAGAGAAACATCGATGTATAGATTGGTTGCCTCCCACATGAGCCCTCACCAGGGCTGGAGGTTAAGCCTGCGATTGAGGTACGTGCCCTTGCCTGGGAATTGAACCCAGGACCCTTCAGTCCACAGGCTGATGCTCTATCCCCTGAGCCAAATCGGCTAGGGCCAGTGAGGATATTTTTAAGTTGGGAAAGATTAGACCCAATGTAAGTGATGAAGGTTATAATCTAGAATATCATTTTAAAAAATTAATTATTTAGAAAACGCATTGAAATATACTCTCAAAATGGGCACATTTTATTGCATGTTAATTATACCTCAATAAAAGTGATCAAAAAGAATTGTAGAAACAAAACAGACTCAAATGCATTACCTACCACAATGTAGCAAGTGGGGAACACCCCCGGTTTGCTTTTCATGCACGTTGCATGGTTTATGCAAACTTTGGACCAGAGCTCTGCATTTATTTAAAATTCTTGTGGAAGTCTCGTTGACTTGTGGGGCTGGGGTGTTACACTAATATTTAGAAATAATTTAGACCAGCACTCATCTACTGGCCTAAAACTGTGCAAATGTATACATTCTTCTAACACATGTGCAGGCCATTCTCAAGCATAGGCTGGGTGAGGCTCTGTCATAACTTCATAGATCAGCTGGGTAGTAACAGCAGAACATAAAACATGCTGAGTTGTGACAATATAATTTCATAGATCATTTATGCATTTAAGTTTTTGTTACAGCTCTGGCTTTCTTTAGTAAGCGGAATGGTTTCAATATGGCAGTGTAGGGCTCGAGCTTCGCCTTGCCTATAGGAACAGCTAAAGCTTCCTTAAAGTAATGGAAAGGTTGTGTTTTGGACTCAACATTTAAAACAGAATAAACTAGGTAGTTTTGAAGTCTTTCGTGGAACAGAAATTGAGATGTCTAATAATGACACATGTCGTTGAATGTTTCAAGATCCATCTGAAGAGTGTTCTGGTTTTCCAAAAGAAGGAAAATTTAAATTGGCTGAAGACCTTGCTCATCAAATCCCTCCTAAGGTAATATTTAATAATTAAGACATGTGAACTATTGTTGTTGTTAGTTATTCATCATTAGAGCAAAAATTCCTGCTCTCCGGGTCTGGATTTGTTCCATCATTCTGAGATTGGAGCGTGAGCTGTTAAAACTGTTAAAAATGCAACTACTTGTGTAAGTTAAGTGAGCTGTAGTAGCTGTGGGTTTTGTCCAGTTAGCACATTTTCCTTATTCCCTTTGTTCTGCTAACAGGAGCTCTCTTTCCCGTGGAAACCCATTCCTCATGGATGGGAGGGGCTGATGTCATATCGTCCCTTCCCACCAAGATGGCAAGATGAGCCTAACCTGGCCAGTAAGAGTTCCCCGTTTTCCTTACCTGTAGTCATTCTTTCCTAGAAGGGCATGTGTCGGAAGACTGACCTATCAGTATCTGCCCTGGGATTTTCTCCAGCACTTCAGGGAGATAAAAACCATTGTTTTCTTCCAGGATCATGAGCTTTAACTATAATGTAAGCCTAGAGCTGTGGGGCCACCCTTCCTTCCAGTACAGGTAGGCTCTTTAAGAACAAAGCCACTTAGAGCAGAGCTGAGAGGTGGAGAGAGAGGAGATGGTTATTGCCATGGCGGACCTTTTTTAAGCCCTTGACTTTTCCTTGTATGAGCTGATAAATGCTCCCCTCTACTTTTTTGCCCCTTAATCTCAGTCGAATGGAATTTCTCTCATTCGCAACATAAAGATGACAAGAAAATTGTAATGATAATTACTGGCAAATTGCCTGATTGTGAAAATCAGAATTTTCTTGCAACTGTATGGCAGCAGCAACAACAATTAGATGCTGAAGGTCAGATAGGACTGATCTGCCTCACATTATGCTGAATTCCACAGGATCTTCATTGGATCCATCAAAGGAACCTCAATAACACTCATTGACAGATAACTTGAAGCTAAAATGATACACTTCTAGGGAAAATATTATTTTGTCTCCCCGTTTTCTGTATTAGGGTTTTGGATAAAAATGTCATTTGACAAAAGTGTTCTCTTGCATTTGAAAATGGCTATATTGGATGATCTTTCTCCTAACCTTGATGTTTTGAGATTCAAATGTCTTCTGGATTGAATGGGAAAAAGAAAAAGAAAAAGAAGAAAAAGTATCAGGAAGAAGGAAATGTTAGTCTCTCTCTCTCTCTCCCCTTCCCTCCCCTGCCTCCACCTCCTCCAAACTAACTGGCCTGTGTTGGTTCTCAGCTGGGCTGTGAAGCTAGGCAAGAGGTCCTTTCAGGAGAATACATAGATTCGTTGGAGCCCGAGGCAGGGATGAAATGGCCAGAATAACTTTTCACGGGCTGTAAATGATTACTGAGATCCTCCCATTTATATCACTTCCTCAAGTTGTTCAAAGAGTTCTCACCAAGAGTACTTTGGTTAAGGACAGACATGCTCATTTGCTCAGCACTAGTCCGTCTCTCTCTCTCTCTCTTTCTCTCTCTCTCTCTCTCCCCCCATTTCTCTCTCAATAAAGAAGAAATGAACTGGTTTCCTCCCAATAGCAATAGCAGGATTTTCCTGAGACCATCCTTCATTGCCTCCATTTAAACACGTGTCCCCTCCATTCACTCTCTGAGGGTTGCTTTCCCACTGTCAGTAGCTGAGACGGGCTGAACCACAGAGATGCAGGACAGGAATGGCATGTTGAGCAGGAAACGTGGCATCTGTACACTCGCCAACCCCCAAGGCTGACATCTTCCTGGGCTGAATGACAGAAGCAGTGACCATTCATGGAGCTCTGGCCACAAGCCAGGCACTCCCAGGCTCTCAATCCCATTTAATCCTCACAAGAGTCTCGGAGGTAAATGCAGTTATCACCCATGACCTTTCCCAACTGAATTAGTCTCTCCCAAACTCTCCTATAATATTCTGTAACCCTGCCTCAAAGCTTTCGCCTCAATTTGGAATGATACGTGCTCCCCCCTGGAAACGGAAGCTTAACAGTGGCAGGAATGATGTATGTTAATTACGGATGCCCAGACCTAGCCCAGAGCCTGACATTTAGCAGGCACTTAGTTAGCATTTGTTGAATAAATAAACCCTCATTTAATATGGCGAAATTAAAGGTCAGAGAGGCTGGGTACCTTGCTCAAGATCACATAGCCAGGGAGTGGTGCAGCCAGTGTTAGGACCCTTGTTCTTACCACTGCCTCTCAGCGGGGAGGCCTGCTCCCAGGCTCTCTCTGTTGATGCCTCCTCCAGGGAGGGAAGCAATTGTGCCCAGTGTAGCTTAGCAGCAACATTTGGTTATCTGAGTAACCAGGGTGAGAATCCCATACCGAGTCAGGGGTCTCTGTAGGACCAGAGTGGAAAGAGTGGGCTCGACATCATTGTGAAGATGAAGTTGAGTTTCAGAATTCACCCACAGACAGCCCCTGATATTTGACTTACGTCGTTCTGAGAGAGAGAGTCACCGAGTATATCACTTTTCCCCAGAAGTACTTGAATCATAATAGGGGATAAGTATTTAAATCATAGGAATGTCTGCCTTGAATTGAGATCTCTAACTTATTAGCTGATTCCCAAATCATACCCTGGTAGAGGTACTGTGGACTCTCTCCTAGCTGATGTCCATCCAGCGGTCTTGCCAGAGGGACTGGAGGACATGGGTACATCCACATTTCCTTTCTCTCTGAACATTGCTGACTGATGCCCAAGGTCCACTAAGAGTCAGGGCTATTGAGCTCTTTTACAGAACTCCGTGCTTTTCTCCAAGTCATTGTGTTCTTACCAACAGGAAATTGTGTTTGTTGCCAAACCTATTCAGCCAGTTATACTTAATGCAACTAAATTATTGAGAAAATATGTTTTTAAAAGTTAAAAATTGATGAAACATGAGTGCAGAAAAAGGGTTGTTTTAGAAAAATTAGACTGAATGTTTCAAAAAATAAGAAGGAGATGCTTAAAAATATTGCTGTCATGATAGTTGTGCAATTGAAAAATGCATCAAGCATTTAGAATTTATTTATAAGCATCTTTAAGATCTCATTCTATTTTAAAGAAACAGAAATAGTATATCTTAGATAATGCAAAATGGTTGTGATTTATGCTAGGAAGAAAAAGTGCAACTCCAATCATCAGATTAGTGTCCAAAGAAAAATCCTTGGCCCAAACACCACAAAATTATACCACTTTCCTTTCTTTCTATTGTTTTTTTTTTCTTAAAAAAATAAAAAAGAAAAGAAAAAGAACTGGTTGCCTCTTAATAGCAATAGCAGAATATTTCAGGATTTTTTTTTGTGTGTGTGTGTATGAGTTTTTGTTTGTTTGTTTTAAGTTGAAATACTTAAGATATGAATGCATCATTAAAAAAGAATTCCCTGCTTTAACCACCCTTTTTTGATTGACAATCTCTGGAGTCATTTCAGTAACAAGATCTTATTGTATATATGAAGTTCTATAAGAGATTTCCATATCCTCCCAAGATGTGAAATTAGCACAAGCTTCCAGCTCCACCTGTAACCTGACCCCCAATCAATTCTGAAAAAATTATAGAGGAAAGCATGGAATATAGGAAATTAAAAAAAAGAAAAAGAAAAAAACAATAGCATCCAACCAACCAAACATACAACAAAGCTCTGTGAGAAAGCTCTGGGGAGATGGAAAGGTGCTTTGAGCTGTAGGTTTGGGGAGGGGGAAGGGAGAGAGTGGGGGGTGAGTTGGGGTGGAGGTGGCAGTCTGGGTCAGAGGGCCGTGTGCTCAGATAAATTACATAAAACTGGTTACATTTCTGCCCTTGTCTTCCTCCACCACTGACTCGGGACAAGCACTGTGTGCCCCCAACTGTGCAAACAGCCACGACCACGGTGCGGGTGTAAACTAGGACAGAGCAAAAGCCCTGATGGGATGAAGAGTTGAGGAAACAGGCTGGTGATTGATTTTCTATGTGTTCCATTTCTCCAAAACTCCTCCCAATATTGTTTGTCTTGAAGGCATGATGGTCTTGGCCAAAAGAATGTCTTGGTGGGTGAGACCAAGAGGAGTGACTGCAAGCTCTTCATCCTAGGGCCTGTCTCATTCTGTCTCCTAGAAGCATCTTGGCTGATACACTAGGGTTTGACCTTTCACCCTTTTGTAGGTAGCATGACAGATACTTTTGAGGACTATGAACTCACAGGCCAAAATAAGAAGACACCTAGAGATTACAACTGAAGGAGTACAATGACCTCAAAAGAAAAGATGAGAAACTGGACTAAGCGTATACATGAAGCAAAATTATTAGAACAGACACAGATGTTAAAATAAACAAAGGAAGGACCCCAGCTTAGGTAAGGGACTAGAATAGAAATGAAAAAGAAGAAGAAAATCATGAAACAGAATCCAGTGGAAAGAATAGTTTTGAAAATACATTGGTTGAAATCATTGACTAAAATAGATGAGATTCAGTAGAATTGATACAACTGAAAAACATAAAGTAGTGAGATAGATAATCATATTGGTGAACCCTACCAGTAGGAAGCACAGCTAATTATAATAATTAATAATAATATGTAGAGCCTGGCTGGTGTGATTCAGTGGTTGAGCATTGACCTATGAACCAGAAGGTCACAGTTCAATTCCCGGTCAGGGCACACGCCCAGGTTGTGGCTCTGTCCCTGGTCGGGGGTGTGCAGGAAGCAGCCGATCAATGATTCTCTCTCATCATTGATATTTCTATCTCTCTTTCCCTCTCCCTTCCTCTCTGAAATCAATAAAATATATATTAAAAAATAATACTAATATGTAGAAAGTTAAACAATATGGAGGAAGCAGTTTATTTTGGCTTTGAGATCAAGGTTGTGTTTTTACTAATTGGTGAAAGGAGTAGTGGGGAGGCTTTGGCTGTAGAGACTAGATTCTTCTTTGCTGACCTATGGAAAGTGACTTTCCTTTCCTGGCCAATGCCTTCTCAGATGGCTTTTTAAATGGTGTTTTTTCAATTAAGGATGTGTGGTTGAGAGTCAAGCTGTTGGAAAGGCTTTTGGCAGACTTGTGGGC